CAAAAATAGGTACGTGGAACGTCAAAAGCATGTATCAACCTGGTAAAATGCATAACATCTTTCAGAAAATGGGAAGACTGAATATAAATATATTAGGAGTAAACGAAACATGGTGGCCTAACTCAGGATATCTTTCAACAAAAATCGGTACCCTATATTATTCGGGAAACACTGATAACCAACATAGACGTGGAGTAGCAATTATTGTCGATACAGAGGTCAACAAGTCAATAGAGGGCTTTTTCCCAATCTCAGAAAGAGTGAAGCTACTACAAATAAGGACATCACACATAAAACTAAATCTGATCCAGGTATATGCGCCAACGATGGATGCAACAGAAGATGAAGTAGAAACATTCTACCAACAAATTGAAGATGCACTAAAAATGACAAAGAACAGGGAAATCACGGTAGTTATGGGCGATTTCAATGCAAAAGTCGCAAAGGAAGAGCTGAGTAATGGGAGACCAACGACTAGGGGAACGTAACGATAAAGGCGATCATCTAATACAATTCTGCCAAGAACAAAGTCTAATAATCACAAACACGTTCTTTAAAATACCAATGAGACGGTTATATACTTGGCGCTCACCAGCAGATAAACCGGAAAAAGTTGTAAGAAACCAAATCGACTATATAATGATTAAAGAGAGATATCGTAACACCATCATATCAGTTAACACATATCCAGGAGCAGATGTCACATCAGACCATAACCCACTAATCGCTAATGTCACGCTTAAGCTTAAACGTATTAGAAAACCACAAAGAATTCCAAAATTAGATGCTAGAAAACTAAAAGATGATATAAAAATCAAACTTCAACTGAAAATATACGAAAACTTTGATAAATTAGATACTAACACTTACGAGAGTAACGAACAATGGGAAACACTAAAAAACTGCCTCATCGCTCCATGCAAAGAGATATTAAAAGAACCGACACGAAAGAAAGACAATTGGATGACCGACGAGATACTTGGCATGATGGAACAACGAAGACAAGCCAAGAACAGAGACAGTCACAATTACAGAATCATTAACAATGAAATCAGAAAAAAGATAAGAGAGACGAAACAAACTTACTATGAGACAAAATGTAAAGAGAAAGAGGATCTTCAGAACAAATACGACCTATTCTACATACATAAAAAGGTTAAAGAAATGGTAAAGCTTCAAAAAAGAAACCACAACACAACTCTTTTAGATAAAAATGGAAATACTATGATAACGACTGACGAAAAACTAAAACGATGGGAAGAGTATATGGAAGAATTCTTCGACGACGAAAGAGGAAACCTACAAGACTTGTCTTTTGAGGAGACAGAGAAACAAGTGTAGAAATTACAAAAGAAGAAATACTGTATGCACTAAAGAACACCAGAAACGGAAAAAGCCCGTGGCCAGATCAACTGCCTATTGATATCCTTAAAATAATAGAAAATGAGTACATTGATCTCCTCTTAAAGCTTTTTAATAAAATTTATTAATCGGGTGACATACCCAACGAATGGTTGACCTCAACATTCATTTGTTTCCCAAAAAAAATGCTAGAGAATGCACCGACCACCGTACCATAAGCCTGATTTCTCACGCACTTAAATTGTTTTTAAAGATCATTCATAAACGCATTTACAAAACACTTGATATTGATATTGAAGAAACCCAATTTGGATTCCGTAATGGCGTAGGTACCCGTGAAGCTCTCTTTGCATTCAACATACTAATCCAGAGATGCTTGGATGTAAACCAAGATATGCACGTCTGTTTCATAGACTACAACAAAGCTTTCGACAAAGTCCGCCACAAAAAGCTAATGGACATCTTCAAAGCAAAACAACTACAACACAATGACGTTCGAATTATAACAAATCTATATTATAAACAGCAGGCACACGTACGCATTAATGAACACAAATCAGAAGAGTTCGAAGTTAAAAGAGGAGTGCGACAGGGGGTGTGTATTGTCACCACTACTATTCAATGCATACTCTGAAGAAATTATGAAAAGAGCTCTTGAGGGAGAAACAGCTGGAATCAAGGTCAATGGAACACCAATTAACAATATTAGATATGCGGACGATACTATCATAATAGCAGATAACCTCCAAAACCTCCAAAAGCTAATGAACAAGATAGTTGAGTATGGAGAAGAATATGGATTATCAATAAACACCAAGAAAACCAAATGTATGGGAATATCAAAAACCCAAAATAATGGCGAAAGCCTGACAATTAACGGTAGTGCTTTAGAACAAGTTAAAAACTAACACTATCTTGGCACAATAATTAATCACACAAACGATTAATCCAAAGAAATCAAAGTTCGAATAGAGATAGCACGTACAAACTTCAATAAAATGAGAAAGGTACTTTGTGCAAGAGAACTAAAATTGGACTTGAGAGTTAAACTGGCAAGGTGTTATATTTTCTCGACTCTGCTTTATGGTATGGAAGCATGGACACTTAACGCGTCGACTGCTAAAAAGTTGGAAGCATTTAAAATGTGGGTGTATAGAAGAATCCTGAAAATACCATGGACCGAGCATGTAACAAACAACGAAGTCATGAGAAGAATCAACAAAAGAATGGTAGTATTGGAAACCATCAAGACACGAAAGCTGCAATACCTCGGGCATGTTTTGCGTAATGAGAGATACAACCTACTTCAATTGATTATACAAGAGAAAATCCAGGGCAAGAGAAGTGTAGGAAGAATCTCATGGGTGCGTAATTTGAGCGAATGGTACGGATGCACATCAATTGAACTATTCAGAGCTGCAGTATCTAAGATCAGAATAGCCATGATGATTGCCAACCTCCGTCGCGGAGATGGCACGTGAAGAAGAGAAAATACTGGCACCAAACGGCAACAATTAAAATAGAGTACACAACATCCGAAGATATACAAAGCCGACGAGGAGTGAGACAGGGTTGCGTCTTATCACCGCTACCGTTTAATTTGTATTCGGAGTCTATATTAAGAGAAGCATTAAACGAGGTCCAAGGCGGAATTAAGATTACCGGAATCAGCATAGACAACATCAGATATGCTGACGATACCGTCTTAATAGCAATAAACGCACAAGAACTACAAATATAATAAATGCGGTGGTTCACCATAGCGAAATGTTGCATCTGAAGGTTTCCAAAACTAAAACTTTACTATTTTCAAACACACCAATAAACGTACATGTGTATGAGAAGGGTCAAATAATAGAACAGGTAAATTCCATAAAATATTTGGGAGTAAATATCAGTCAATGTAATCCAAAAAAAAAGAAATTCTATCAAGAATCGAACAAGCAAGGAAAACATTTATGAGCATGAAAATATTTTTTACAAGATCAGACCTTAGTCTGCAGCTTAGAATCCGAATGATTAGATGTTACGTTTTTTCTGTCTTACTGTATGGCTGTGAAAGTTTGACAATGGACTCTGAAATAGAAAAAAGGATAGATGCCTTTGAGATGTATATATACAGACCAATGTTGAGAATTCCATGGATACAAAGAGTTACTAATGTTGAGGTACTTCGTCGCATGTGTAAACAAAAAGAATTACTAAGAATAATCAAAGAGAGGAAAATGTGTTGAGAGGCGAAAAATATGAATTACTTCAAGTTATACTGGAAGGAAAAGTACAGGGCCAAAAATCAGTAGCAAGACGCCAGAACTCCTGGCTGAAAGACCTGAGGAGATGGTTCGACCGCTTATCCGCAGAAATCTTTCACGCAGCAATTTTCAAAACTTCAATTTCCATTGGATCGCCAACCTTCGAAAGAAGACAGCGTCATGAGAAGAAGAGCGGACCAATCAATACAATATATTGTATATAATGTTGCGAAAGTACAAAAAAAACGACGAAACTAAATTCTTATTTCTAGACTCAATAAAACAGACAAATTTAATATTTTGTTGAAGAAGTAACTAAAATTTTAGATTATAAACTTGTTGCCAATTTAAAAAAAAATCAGAAGTTAGTATTTCCTGAAGTAGAAAATGTTGCTACTGTTCCTACAATGAATACGAAGTATCTAGTACATATACCACTTAGATTGTTGTTATGATTACATCTTCTTCTAATATTTATTTGCAATTGGAGAATTTGGCAAACAGCATGTATGGCAGTTTTTTCTTTCATTTCATATTTCCTGTATGTTTGATCATTCACTCTATCTATCTTGTCGAAATCTTTCCTCAACTAACAGTGTCCAATCACCAATTACCAGTGTCCTATGTGCTTCTGTCAATGTTGCTACTGATTTGTTGTCATGACTTTTTTCCAGTCATCTCTGAACTTTACGCCAGATTTTCTTACGTCCCAGAATGATTCTGGTTATTCCAAAGTCTTTCTCAACCTTCATTTTGCTATCAATTCTCATTCGACTCATTCGACTGCTCTAATTCATTACTTTTGAATCCTTCTTATCCTGACATCCACATTAGAGATGCTCTATTGTATCATTTTATTAAGGATATATTTACAAAGCCTACAGCGGAATAAGATGGTTGAATCTATACACGGCTGGATTTTTATTTGGGATTGAGCACTTGAAATTACATTGTTTTTTTGTTACATACTTCAACTTCTATTAATGCGAGATGTCACACTAAAAAGTTACCCTATATATATATATATATATATATATATATATATATATATATATATATATATATATATATATATATACCAGTATATCATAGATCAAGTTGACTAGATTTCGCTACGAAGAAACTTTAAATGTAAGACAAAAAACATCCTTGTTTGTACAATAATTGTACAAATTGTGCAATAAAATTAACACCCACCAATAAATTGACAGTGTAATATTTCATAAACTTGGTTTTTTATAAATTTTGTTGCAAAACCCCCTTCACAAAGACACATTCAAGGAAAAACTAGTGAGAGTGTAGAGAATTTGATTGAAACATACTTAACGTTTATAATATCAATATGTTATGTCCTTTTATTACTTCAACAATAAATTAAATACTCACTTTATTTGCAGTCTTTTCAACAAGGAGTCCATCGGAGGCAGTTGGTGAGTTGCATGGGCTATGCGGAAGACCTTCGTCGTCTTCGCTGGTGTCACCGCGTCCTCGCCTTAGTCTCAATCTCTCACTTAATTCACTCTGAAACAAAAAATATTGTAAGTGAAGGTCGAAATAACGCTAAGATATCTTTATAATTCAAGAATAAATATTTCTTTCTTGTTTCAAAGATGATTAAAATTAAATCGAAGAGGTGTAAGAACACTATATAAGAAATAAAAGTTATCAAAAAACGGGAAAAGAGGCTTGGCTTGATGCGGGTTCCAAAATGGTCAAAAAGCTTAATGATTATTGCAATTGTGTAAAGCAATTATTACTGCAAAATTAGTAAATTAATATTTAATCCTACATTGCATAACGTTGCTTTCAGGCAACATCGAAATTAAATGCAGTTAGAAAACCATCTTTTGCCTTTTAGTTATTTTAAAGCGGATATCGTGTAGTCAAAGACACATACTGCCTAACTGTCATGCAACTCCCAATGTCAGTAAGTACTTCAAACTCAGTTTTCGCATCAAAAATTTTCAGATGTTGTCGTCAGTAATTTGTTACACTTGTGCGATACATGTGTGACTAAACTTGTAAGTTTTACTCATTTTATGCTATTTCTAAACACAAAGTTCTCTTATTTTTTTAGTAGACTTGTCAGATGAATAATTCATCCACAATTCGTAAACATAAAATAAAATTAGAATAACAAATCAAGTTTTAAAGGTTCGTTGCTTTCTGGAAACTTTATACCATCACGTCATGGAACTATCTCAGGTTAGTGTAGTAGATTTTATGGAAATGGGGGTAGAAGAAATGAAAATGTTATTAAAAGATCAGTGACAGATGATTCTAACAGTAATTGATGATCCCTTTTATATACAGTCTGACAATAGAAGATGTACCTCTAAGTATATTTTTTTCGATCCGTCTCGCGAGTTACATTTCTGATACCAATATTTTTTAGGACGAAAATGACGAAGATGAAAGCCATGATATTCTTTATATTGACTTATTGCCTTATCTAACAAGTGGCATCACAAATTATATTTTCACTTTGTTTGTCAGCCATGGCTATTATATATAACAGATTGCAACCTGCAGAAACATGCGCAGGTGCTGCATTTTTGAGCAAAATATCATTAGAAATGTGGAAAAATGGAAATCCAAAACGGAGAATGGGAAGGAACACAAAACAACCTGGAACAGATCAAAACCAACAAAGGGTTTTACAACCAAGGATGATAATAATATGTGAAGAGTTCGCCCAAAAAAATACTCGGAACAGTCTACGAAACGATTTAACATTTTAAGCATATTTTGGAAAGGTTTTGAAATAACAAATGGATAACTATATGGCGAACAAAATCGTCCTCTGCAATAAAACTTACTTTAACATGAATCTGAAGGTATTTCCTTGTAGTATTTTAGCTTTTTTACTTTATTGTTAAAAGTGTTTCATTTGTTTCATTTCAAGAACGTATAGGAAAAAGTATTTCGTCCACAAAGACCATCCAGAACGTATAGGATTTTGTGCTGGTTATTTAGAAGAAAATAGACAGGACATAAACTTTATAAAGAATATTTTATTCAACGATGAAGCAACTTTTATAAGAAATGGAGTAACTAATCATCACAATACTCATGTCTAGGCCGACGTAGATCTTAATAGGAAAAAACATGCGTCGCCATCAGAGTAATTTTAAAGCAAACGTTTGGGCTGAAATTGTCAGTTATTATTTATTAGGGCCAGTATTTCTTCCCAATAATGTGAAAGTATAAAATTATTTATCATTCTTACAAAACACAGCAGCATCGATAAGAAGGGCGCCCGATGCACTAATTGAATGGGCACCACGCGGTCCAGATCTTAATCCAATGGATTTTTGTTTTTGGGGATTTATAAAAGATTATGCTTATTCCGACATTTGATTTTTCAAAATATTCGGTATTCATTGGTGAAACATTGTAGAGCCCGTATACAAGAAGGAGGAGGTCAGGTACTTTGAACAATTAAATTAATCAATTTTCTGTTCCTAATTGAAAGTTAATAATAGAAGTAATATTTGTAGAAATGAAATATTCCATTAAAAAAAAAGGCTAAAAATTAATGATTTTACAAACAAATACTAAGACAGAAATGTTGTAAAATATGTTTTTCAGTGATGGATTCGACCGTTACTTGGTGGAAATTAATTTTATATAACAATAAAACACTGAAAACTTTTGTTCTCAAAACTTCCACAACATTTATTATAAATTCTCATCACTATAGCTGTTTCGGCAGTGTGCCTTTCTCAAGTGATCTATTTTTGGAATTTGTTTACACTTTATAGTCTTTAACTGAATAAATTGAGGAGGGGACAACTGTTTGTCTTAAGTTGGTCATTCAAAATTATGTGTGTATTTTTTAATTTGTTGATTTACATAGATTCTAATAAAGATAGCTGAAGGCCTTTATTTTGGATGTAAAGAATTTGAAATTCGATATTAAAATAATGATTCTGGTTTAGAAAATGAAGTGCGTACGTACAATCTGTTTTTATATTATTGAAGGTCCTTTTATGTTTTGCTATATGCTTGTTAAAAGTTCTACTAGTTTGACTGATGCACGTTTTTGGGCAGTCGACACATTTAAGTTTTTATAAACCACTGCCTACGTAATTTTTTGGCTCTTTTTGTTTTTAGTATATTTGCCCAAGTTGTTATTTGTTCTAAAATCTGGTACTATTCCTTTCTTTTTATGGATTTGGCTAGTTTTTTGATATCTTGCCTGTATATGCAATCGAGCAGAAGGTACTTCAGGGTTTTCTTATGTAGTTTTTTATTTAAAATTTTATTAATTGTTTGTTCGTTGTACCCATTGTTTACTGCTATTTGCTTATTGATGTTTTTTCAATAAGCAAATAGACAACTTCAGAATTCTATCTCAAACTTGTCTTTTGACATCTGAATTTCTATTAAACTGTGGAGTACAAAAGTTATTGAAACGCAATAAAATATGATCGACTATAGTTTATTTTTATGAACGAGAGAGTAAGTAGCATAATTTTAACTGGTACCTCCGACCACTCCATGGGCGTGCTCAAGATTAATTGAAAAATTACTTTGAATAATTGTAAAAAATAAATGAATTATTTCAGTGTTATAAAGTGTTATGTGCATGTAAACAAAAGTGACCTCTTTTATCACACACTATATTAGAACTGACTGGCCTACATTAAAAAGGGTTTTAAAAAATTCACATTTTTTTTAATTTTTAAAAATTACAAAAGAGAAAAAGAGTTTTTAAAACCGTCTAAGGTATGTTAAATAGATGAATAAAAATATTAATATAAAACTTACAGCTACTTGTTACAAATCCAAATCAGATTCAGAAGATGAACTTTCAGAACCAAGATTTATAACTGGCTCGATCATTTTATCAGTAATATTGTCCAGCTTCCACATTTTTTCCTCTTCTTTAATAGTGTGATTTACTGCCTTTTCCCAGTTTTCAGGTTTTACATTATTTACGGCCTCCAAAAACAACTGTTTTAACATCATGAATTTTAAAAGTGGTATTTTTTCTTGAAACTTCACTCTTTATCTGTGCTCATACCAGTTCAATCGGGTTTAATTCACAATGATATGGTGGGGATCTAAGTACTGTCATTCCACGATTTTTGGCAATTTCATCAATTTCGTATTTTTTAAATTTTTCTTTATGAAGGGCACACAACGAATAAAGTTCCTTTCTTATAGATCCGGGATGGTACGTAATATTTTTTGAACTCAGCCAATTCTGCAAGTCTTTTTTTAACCACTTGGTTGTGGGCAGTCCTTCTATGAGTCTGGAGTGATAACTTGCATTATCCATTACTATTACACAGTTCTTAGGAAGAAGATCTATCATTTGTTCAAACCATTCTTAAAAGACATCAGCGTTCATGTCTTCATAATAGTCACCGGTACGAGTTGATTCAAAAGTTAATAAACCACCTTCAACAAAACCGTCTGAACTGCCAATGTGTACTATTATCAGCCTGCGTCCCTTTCCTGATGGTGGGTTTAAACCAGTAGATAAGTTATTTACAAAAGCGTGCCTTTGACTTGTAACAGTTTCATCCTGCCAAAATTTATTTGGTGTATGACCCTCGTTGATCCATGTTTCATCAAGATAAAATATTTTTCTTTTTTGGTTTCTCATTTCCTTTATGGTTCTTAGAAAATGTCTTCTCCATATGACAATATCGCTTCTTTCTAATAAAATAGACTTTCTGGGATTCTTTTTCCAGCGGAAACCTATTTCTTTTAAAAGTTTCCATAACGTACTTCGACTCATTTCTGGGTAATCCTTATCATCTCGAACTGAGACAAGAACTTTATCCAATGTTGGAAATTCTTGTCTAAAGAAGAATTCATGCACTTTCCGTCGAAGTCCTTCTTTAAAATGATATTCTATTTGAAATTTTGGTTTCCCTGGAGCATTACGTGGCATTTGAAAACTACCACATTTCTCTTCTTTAATAACTCTGTAAATCGTAGATTTCCCAACACCAAGTGTACTGCTAACTAACTCAACGGTCTCATCAACACTTTCACATAAACGTTTGTCTGTAAGTGATTTAACACAATTAAATATTAATGTTTTTTCATTAACTGTTAAAGGACCAATTTTTCGGCGTTTACACGGCACTTCCAAATTTTCCATAACACTAGTATACACAATAAACTGCACCTTGCAACTGAAGTACCTACTTTTAGTGAACTGTTAAGAATTTTGAATACGCCACTTGGACCTTCCTACAAAATGGAAAAACCCACTATCACATTTTCTGTGGAATAAGTTTAGAAGGTAATTATCTAGTCAATTACTGTCGTAGATTCCTGGAATTAAAGAATTAAATGTTTGATTGTTGAAACCCTTACTTCGTGGATTGCACTCATTTCAGGTAAAATAAAACGTTTTATTTTATCTAAAGAATTAAACTTTATTTTGCAAATAGGTAGGTACTTATTAAACTTTTATTGGTTATATATAACCAATAAAATAAACATCTTACATTTCTTGCAAATTCATTAGTACCTGTTAACCTCCATCACTCCGACAC